AACATGGGAAATGTAGTCCAGGGTGATGTGTGACAGGCTGTGTGATGTGAGGGTCTATATAACGGGAGGGCAGCCTCTGGTGGCAAGCGAGCAGAAGTCCATGAACAGGATTCGTGACAGAGCCCCCCCACAAGGAGCGGCTTCCAGACGCTCCAAAACACTTTACGATTCCGGAGGGTGGTGGAGTGGAGGCGGAACAGGGGGAGGGATGGAGGGCCAGGTCCACGTGGAAGTGGAGAGACCGGGGACTGGTCCACCATAGAAGGACAGAAGACCTCCACGACGGAACAGAAGCCCACCAGGGCAGAGCAGATGGGACAAAAGACCACCAGGGCGGAGCAGGCAGAACAGAAGACCACCAGAGCAGTTTAGAAGACCACCAGGCTGGAGCAGGAACCCAAGGCAGGAACTGGGACCTGGATAAACTTGAAAAACAGGAAACATTCACGGTCTGAAGGACCGAGGCAGGGAACACAAGAAGTTCATCTATAGTCTCCCTGGTGACCACTGAATGGGTAGACTGTTCAAAATCTGGTTCATTGACTGAAACTGGACAGGCAGACAGTTCAAAACAGACTCACTGACTGAGACTAGACAGGCAGACCATTCAAAATCAGTCTCATTGGTCGAAACAGGACAGACATATGGCTCAAAACTAGAATTCCTGACTGAAACAGGATAGATAGACAGTTCATTAGTGGTCTTTTGGGAAATAACAGAGGTAATGGGACAGACATGGATTGTTTTTGTAGTTTCTGGGCTCATGACAGACAGAGTTAAGAGGTCAAAGGCAGATCTTTGGGCTGTGACAAGGTTACTTGAGTCTACAACATCAGACTTACAGACTGAAACAGGAATGACAGAAAGTTCAAAATCAGGATCATTTGCAATATTCTACAGCCGTACCATCAGGAAACAGGGAAAGTTCATGAATATTCTCCTTAACAAAACAGGAACAGCAACGAGTTCAGCATGTCAGACGTGACATGACAGGCTGAACGTGTATTGCTGGGCACCACCACCGAGCAAGGAGCAGAAGTGAGCACCGCCGCCTCGGGAGGTTCTGCAGCATGGGCCACCACCTCTGGAGAAGCTGCAGTGGGCGCCATCGCCTCGGGGAACACGGCAGCGTGCACCACTACCTCGGGAGGATCTGCAGCATCAGCCTCCACCTTGGGAGACCTCACAGTGGCCACCGCCATTTCTAAAGTTTCAGTGGTGGTGTATGCAGCCCAAATACACCATAAAGCGATCCCCATTGTGGGAAGCGCAACAGACAGGGGAAATAGTTCAGGAACTGGAGGGCTTGAGAGCGATGGTTTAGGGATACCAACTGCACGTGCCGACACCAGCGGTGGGTCCTCCATGCTGGATGCCAGTCTGGGATACTGAAGAACAGTCCTTGAGGATCTGGGTGCAACAGACAGGAAGTGACGTGATGTGACGTGACTCTGGAAGATCAGCTATGATGTGACGTGACTCTGGAAGATCAGCTGTGGTGTGACGTGACTCTGGAAGTTCAGCTGAGACGTAACGAGACTCTGGAAGTTCAGCTGAGACGTGACGAGACTCTGGAAGTTCAGCTGGGACGTAACGAGACTCTGGAAGTTCAGCTGAGACGTGACCTGATTCATGAAGATCCACTGTGACTTGACTTGATTCATGAAGATCAACAATGACTTGACTAGACTCATGAAGATCAACTGTGACTTGACTTGATTCAGGATTGGCAGCTGTGACATAACGGGCCACTGTTGTGTCCGCCATTTTGCGATCAGGCTCCGCTGTCGCTGCCATTTTGTGAGCATGCTCTAGTGCAGCCGCCATTACTCGAGTGTGTGTGAGGTCGCGACCCGCCGCAACATCCACAGTGAACGATGAACCAACAGTCAACAAAGCATAATCCATAAATTGACTTAGAGAAGAATGGGGACCCTCACGGATTAATCGTGTCTTTAGAGATTCATTGATACCCTCACAAAAAAAGTCTTAGAACAGTACATAGCCATCGCTCATTATTCAGATCTGCCAGACTAAGTACTCTTGAATATAGCCTTCCAGCGATCGTGTGCCCTGTCTAAGGGCTAACAATATCCTTGCAGTATCCATACCTGGCCAATGTCCATACGAGAAGCTGCTGGATCCTTGTGGGGCCGAGTATTCTGTTACGGGCAAACAAGACGCGAGACATGCGGATCCATTCGCAAGCTTTATTTAAGGACGTCGTCAACACAGGCGAGGGTCAGACTATGGCAAACAGATACATTGAGTACAAGACACAAGAATAGTCCAGTGAACGGGCATGGGGTCGATCTCCGGCGCATAAATATGAAGGAGGTTTTATGCATGTTTATGACAACTTTCATTAAGTGTCATTGTCTCAGTTACGTAATTTTTTATGCAAATATGACATTATTTGACCTAACCCTACCCCTAACCATAGCCCATAACAAAGACATCTCAAACAATGTCATCTTTGCATTACAAATTACATAACTGAGTGAATGACACTTAATGACAGTTGTCATAAACATGCATAAAAAACCTTCATATTCGTGACGTGTCATGTCATGATTATGTAGTTGTCATGTCATGATTATGAAGGTGTCATGTCAGTCTTATGCACACCCCTTCAAGTAAAGTGTAACCAAAAAATCTAACAGTACACAGTCTGGCAGATCTGAATAATGAGCGATGGCTAAATACTCTTGAATATAGCCTTCCAGAGATCGTGTGATCGTGTGCCTGTCTAAGGGCTAACAATATTCTTGCCGTATCCATACCTGGCCAATGTCCATCCGAGAAGCTGCTGGATCCTTGTGTGGCTGAGTATTCTGTTACGGGCAAACAAGACGTGAGACATGCAGATCCATTCGCAAGCTTTATTTAAGGACGTGGTCAACACAAGCGAGGGTCAGACGATGGCAAACAGATATATTGAGGGCAAGACACAAGAATAGTCCAGTGGACGGGCGTGGGGGCGATCTCCGGCGAACAAAGTCCAAACAGGGTAATCCAAAGGGTAATTCCGAAACACAGGCGATGATCCAGGCGAGGGGTAAACAGTATCCAAACAGGGCGAGACGAAGGGGTAATCCGAAATACACAGGCAATGATCAGAACAGAGAAAACAGACAAGGCAAGACTAAGCTAAGACTAGGAAACTTAAAGCAGGCTCCGTAACGTAGCTATCACTGACTAGCGATATGCGCATACAATACTCAGCAGTGAGAGAGAGGAAGTCCATGGCTTATGTAGGGTGTGTGATTGGTTACAGATGTGTGCAATCAGTGCAATGGATGATGGGAAATGTAGTCCGTGGTGACGTGTAACAGTCTGTGTAGTGAGAGAGTCAATATGATTCGTGACAGAAATGGTCTGTTGTTTTTATCATATTGCTTACTATATTTATTTGTCTGGCCAGTGTTGTTGTGGATTTTGGTTATTGTGCTGTTGTAAGACCTTTGAAATAACAGAAATCATTTGGCAGGATATGGACATGTAATGCGGTCCAGAGCTGCCTGGAACTACATTTGCTGTGCGTTTCCCTGAAAATAATTGCACACCTTAGAACGTTCGTCAGCCAATCAGATTCAAGCATTCAATGGCCCCGTAGTATAATTATAAATAAACCATGACTACATAACAGCAAAAGTAGGTGGCGATATGCACACAGGGTGCAACATGCCAAAAAACGGAAGAAGAAGAAACCGAGCCGAGCCGTATCATGCAGTGGAAAAGCACCAAAAGTGTCTGAGATTCTTCAAATCTTACATGAGGTTTATACTCAGTGATTTGTCTCACACAGCTGAACTCTGACTCTTCAGGATCTAAATCTGTTCTTGTTCTCCTGCAGATCCGAAGCCAAAGCCTGAACTCATGCCAGATGCTGCAGGAGCTGCACTGACAGGAAACACAGTGACTTTGACCTGTCACATGGATCTGTCCCCTGGATGGGACTTTTACTGGTACGAACACACACTGAACTCTGAGACAAAGAAGACAAAAACAAACTACTACAGAGTGAAGATTGATTCAGTGTCTGATGGAGGCCAGTACTGGTGTAGAGCTGGAAGAGGGAAACCAGTCTACTACACACAATACAGTGATGCACTGTGGGTAAATGTTACAGGTGAGAGAAAACATAGTATCTGAGACAACATACAGATCAGAGACAATATCTACAGAACATCTAAAACTTTGAATCTAACATTAATGCAATAATCTGTGTTTGTACAGTGAGTCCTAAAGCTGTGGTGACGGTACGGCCTGATGAACGAGTGTTCAGAGGAGAAACAGTCACTCTCAGATGTGATATAAAGTGGGGAGGAGACACTGAGTGGACGTACAGATGGGAAACAGAGGGAACAAACTACCAACATAAAAACTCTGTCAGTCGAATCTCAACACAAGAGTTGAACATCAGGAGTGTTGATCACTTTCACAGCGGTAAATACACCTGTACAGGACAGATGGGAACACAAAGCTCTCAGCGCAGTGATGCTGTTACACTGACTGTATCAGGTGAGTTTGTGTGTTTGTTCATTATTATCAGTGTGAACAGCTTCTCTCTCAGTCTCTCTGTGGCTCTATAACTCCTCATGTTTTGTTCAGCTGAAGCTCAGGCAGCAGTGCGAGCGTCTCTACAGCCGTGGCTGAATGAAGGAGACTCAGTGACTCTGATCTGTGAGGTTACAGGCTCCTCTACAGGCTGGACGTTCAGCTGGTTCAGAGATGATGATCATCTGTCCGACAGCAGCAGAGGAGCTGGAGGCTCTTACACTCTCAGTCCTGCTGCTCTACAGCACACAGGAGTTTATACGTGCAGAGCAGAGAGAGGACGACCGGCCTATTACTCAAAGAACAGTAACACACAGCCACTGTGGATCACTGGTGAGTCAAATCATGTCAACATCTCTATTTTAAACTCATTTGATCTGTCATGTTACACCTGTCAACGATTATTAGAACATGTTTTGACAATGTCTGAAAAAAAAAATAATTTTTACCTTTCAATTTTCCCTACTGAAACACATCATGATAGTTACATTAAAATTACAATTGTAGTGATATCGAAAATCTGAAATGTCTTTGTAAGTGGATCTCAAATGACACAAGCTGCATAAATTAAGCGTTAGCGTTAGTTCTGGCAGGTCACGTGAGTCAAGCTTGCATCAGCTGATTCTCAGCTGATCACATCTACCTATAGGAATACGACACCTACCATTCCTATATAAGCTCTATTTAGTATTATTCAGCAGCTTTTCAGCTTGCTCCGGAGCAAATTACCCTCCTCCATCCCCAGCTCCTCCTTTCGCCACAGTCAGGACTTGGCTTTCTGATATTCCTTGCTAATCAGACTCCTTTATCTTGAATAAAGTGTTACACTTAAATATCATTAAGTACATTAATGATATCTGCCTTGTTCTGTTCTGTTAACCCTAGGGTAGTTATTGACAGATGTGTTTATTCTTTCACATAACTCACAGGAATTAAAATATAACTAACACATATACTGACATGTACACACCTCGTCAACGTCCTATTCAATGAAATGAAGAGTGCATTAACTACAGCATTAGAATAAAATCTTGCCCAAAATAAAATTGTCATCATTTACTCACTCTCATGTTATTTCAATCCTGTTTTTTTTTTTATTTGGAACACAAAGATTTTCTTTTCTTTTCATTTGTTCCTTTTCTTTTCTTTTCTTTTCTTTTCTTTTCTTCTATCCAATGAAAAGTGAAACATCCTTTATCCACAAAAGAAAGTCAGCCACACAGGTTTGAACAACATGAGTTTGAGTAAATTATGACATAATGATAATTTAAAGGGTAAATTAGCTATTTAATACAGAGCTAAGGTGGCATTGTGGTGGAATAAATATGACATGGGAGGAAAAAATATGTATTTCAATGATTTTTGTGTTTACTCACAACATTTTGGGTTCACCAAGAAACTTCCTGAAAGCCTTTAGGAGCTCTGTAATGTTGCTCAATAATGTGCTTGTTTTTCTGTTTTTCAGTGTCAGGTTCAGGTCAGATTTCTGTCTTCAACATCCTCAGTTTTATTCTGGCAGCTTGTCCGTATCTGCTGGCGACAGTTGTGCTGCTTTTCAAATGCTACAGAGCGAGAGGTAAAACTTCTGACTGATCCGTCTCTTCATCTCAGTGACTTTTACCCAAACGATTCACATTCACTGACAGACATGCCTCTGTCTTTTTATCTGTTATATAGATCAATATTTATCTATAAATATTATTTGATTCGTAAATCAATACCTGCAGTGGAAGCAAAACAGAAAGTGTCAAATTTAACTGAATATAAATGTTTTGTGTGTGTGTGTGTGTGTGTGTGTGTCTGTGCGTATTTCACAGTTACATCTACTGAAGCCCAAAGCCAGTACACTGTAACAGTGGAATAATCATCTATTATTCTCCAAACGGCAGAGTCACAGGATGCTGGAGTCTCAGGCTGAAGGCTGGGAAACACACTGGACACGGCCAGTCCATCACAAGACTAACACACACACATTCACACTCTCACTCAATTTAGTGTCTACTTCACCTGTGCTGCAGATTAGATTGTGGGAGAAACCAAACCAACACATGGAGAACAAGCAAACTCCACACAGAAAGGCCTCCTGTTCATCATCTACTCCAAAACAAGTTTCGTAATGTATCAGTCAAATTCACTGTAAGCTATTGAAAGTTGCCCTTTAAATAATACTAACAACAATTATAATGTCAAATTACATCGGAGCATGTATTTTTTATTATGCTATATTGCCTTTTGTCGTCGAAGTAAAAGGAGTTTGTGCAATTCTAAAAATGTCCCTTTGCTTTTAAATCTTTACTGAATTTTAAAGTAAAAGTAACTTTTATAGTTTTAGTAAAATTTCAAGTCAAACACTTACTTGACTGAATCAACTTATGTTTAGCTGATTATCCAAACATAATTGTATTTGTTCTTCTCTCAGTTAGCATTGTATTGTATTGTATTATGTTTTCATCAAACTAAGTATTTAAATATAATTTATGTAAGTAGTCTGTTATACTGTTATAAAGATCTCATTGATTTACATTATCAGCTATCAGAATTTTAGCTCGATATAAATATTTGTATATGCACCAAATTGCTCATTTTTGCTCAGTTTGGGCCTCGGAATAAAATTGTTTTTTCCTCTTGGAGTTTGAGCTCCTTATTCTCACAAATATGAGCCATAAAGGTCCAATGTTTTAAAAACGGGAAGAAAAAAAAAATCACGAAACATTTCTTTGATAGTTTTTAGATTTTGTCAAAATGTTCAATAAACTATCATATATATAAAAAAAGTGATTTAAGTATAATCTCATAATTTTAGGCATAATAGGGTTAAATGTGCTACCTTTTCACAAAATATTATATTTAACTTGTTCTACCATGACCGCAAATGTACATGATCTGGAGAAAATATAGAAAACATCACATGAATTAACAGTTATAGAAATTTGATATGTGTCACTATGAAACAATAACATTAAAGGTGCAGTAGGAGATCTTGGAAAATGCTAACTTTAGCCTGATAGCACTGAAAGCGAATGTCCCACCCAGTAGCGGTTTTTGGCACCGGCGAACCGGGCAGCCGCCCGGGGCGGCATTTTTTCATGATACATGGGGGGCGGCACGAGCAGGTAAAAAAACAATCCTCTGCGCCGCCGCCGTGAAGTGGTTTTCTATTATCTATCATTTCACTGTGTGGGGAATAGGCAAATTGGCGCCCCTGTTTGCTGAGAAGGTGCCGTGCACAGAAGCTGTGTGAGAAGGGGAAAGGTAATTTTCAAATCTGTGTAATTATAATTTAAATTAAAATGTACTTTTCAAATTGTATTTCATAAACCAACATCTCAGACGTTATGTCAAAACGTTATGGGGTTTCAAATCAAAAAATGACTTTCTGTTACAGAACAGGGCATTGATTTCATACATGTCCACTGTAGAGGACATCAGGAATTAAATCATGTTTATCAGGCATTTTGGGAGACACAACAAGGGAATATGGAAATAAATTATACATCAATATTCCTATGAAATATTAGATATTATTATTAAAATGTTGCCAATTATTACTCCAATTATTACACTTATTTTTTCATTAAATGTTGCTCCAAGAACACATTAATATGCAAATTAGATACAGTGTATAGTATATATTTATTTAAGTTCTGATAACTTATACTGTCATATTTTGTTACCATACTACATCAGGCTCCCAATTCCAACCCATGTTCTGAAGTGAAGTAAACTTCAACGGATTTCCCCCGCTCAGCAATGAACACTGTGTAGGGATCATATAGATCAGATCGGTTCATGCACGTAGCTCACTTCTAACGAGCTGGCACGAGGACTGGATTAACCGCTGGGCTACATCATGTGTCATTCACCGGTGAGAA